TTACATGAACTTTGTACCGACTTTGTGAGCTTCAAGTCAAAACTACCAAAACGTGTGTTTTCTTTCTCAAAATAGTTCGAAAACGCCATAGAAAATTGGAATTTAGATTCCTAAAACTAGTGGGCTATGAATTGGAGAAGTAAATAACGATTTTCTAAAAGAAAAAAATTTATCTCTATTTATCTAAAGAGAGCTGTTGAAACATTTTACTGGTTTCAACGTCACTCACAGAGATAATTTATTCATCTTACATGGACTTTGTTCCGACTTTGTGAGCTTGAAGTCAAAAGTGCCAAAACGTGTGTTTTATTTCTCAAGGTTGTTCAAAAATGGCCCAGAAAATTAGAATTTAGATTTTTAAAACTAGTTGCCTATGAATTGGAGAAGTAAATAGTCATTTTCTAAAAGAAAAAAAAATTACTTGAAGTGAGCTGTTGAAACATTTTACTGGCTTCAACGTCACTCACAGAGATAATTTATTCATCGGAAACGAGTTTTGAAACAACTTGAAGAGCTTGAAGTCAAAAGTGCCAAAACGTGTTTTCAATTCTCCTTGATAGTTCAAAAATGGCTCAAAAAATTATACAAATTGCCTATGAAATGGAGGAGTGAAATTTGAAACTACATGTCATTCTTTTGATGTTTATTTATTTGCTTAATCATAATGCATTTAACAAARAGATACATTTACATAAATGCAACAGAAAGTTAAAAATCTATGTAAGGGGTAAAATTGGAGCTGGGATTTTTGGTAGGGAAAATGGGGTTTTTATGCACTGGAAATGGTATTCACAAAGAAAGAAACAAACAACAACAAAAAACCATGATGGGAATGGAATTGAGCAAAAAAAAGGCTAAAACTATAGGATTTGGTCAAAATGGGGTGAATGGAAATGGAATTAGAACCCCCACTTCAGAACCCACTTTTGATTGTGTTGTTTCTCTTGGAAACATAGCCTTGTTTAGGACCATAAAACATAGACCCTCAGTCCCAGTAATTTAGTGTTAAATATTTTCTTCATTTTAGCCTGAGTTTTAGGTTCTCCTATCCAGCCATCTTTGCTTGTTGAAACATGTTAAGGCATATGGGAGGGGGAGGATGGTAGGAAAATGACTCATTTCCTAATTCTATATCATGAGCTTGTAGATAAAATTTACAGTTCATCTTATAGAAGATATACATATTTTTCTTTTTCTTTTTTAAAAGATTCTCTTCACATTTCCTGATGATAGTTCAGTGACCCAAAAGATTGGGAAATACGAAACTTTAGTTCTATATTTCCATAAAAGAAACAGTCATTAACAGAATATAATACCTATGTACAAGGGAATCCTCAAAAATATTCCAGTTTTGAGTGCATATATATATGAAAATCTTGAATTCATACAACAAAGTCTTTGCATTATCTTAAAAATCTTCTGTTTGATTGATTCTTATACTACTGATTTATTTAATGGTTTTAATTTCTGACTTGTGTTTTCTTGTTTAGAAATATTTAGATAAAAGTGAAAGACGAAAAAAAAAACTGAAAAAAAATTGACTTTTATAATTTTTTTGGGGTTCAAGGTAGTGTCCTCTATAAACAATATTGGAAATATCCATCTTAATATCATATCATTCATTGTTTGTAAATGCCTTTAATTGTTTTCATGGAATAAATAAGATTAAAATTATTTAACAATTATTTGCCGAAGGCGAAGTGATTGTCGGGGAATATTTTCCGAGACGCAAGTATTTGAGCAGCGAGGTAAATATTCCCCAATAATCACCGAGCCCGAGGCAAATAATAATTATTACAATTATTGTTTTAGTATAAATACGCAGGTGATTCTTTCAAAAAAAGAAAAAAAAGAAGATAAAAGGTATTTTTTCCCCAGTAACAGCAACGAAGTGGCTGGCCGCCATTTTGGATTTTCGCTCAAGGTGATTATCGTGTGATAGTGTGAGTTTCTTGACCAATCAGTGCGCAAGATTTTCTATAATCACCTGCGTATTTTTACTAATTTTTTATATTCACCGGACTTTCACTGTTAACTAAGTTGGGTTCCCTGTGGTATACCTTGGATTTGCCATTTATAGTCAAAAAGATGAGATATATTTGATGAGTAATTTAGGGATCGGAAGATCGTCTATACTTTTGTTTTTAGTTGCAATTTTGATCTCATTGCAACAGAGATCTAATAGTGTTGGAACTGAAAGAGAAAAATATAAAAATAGTGAGAAGTGAGAAATTTGTTGAAGTTCAAAAAAACATCGAATTCTTAATTTAACCCCGGGGGGGGGGGGGGGGTACTCCCACATATGGACTATACGGGTATGATGATCTGCTGAATAGGGTATGGTATTTCGAGCTTCTTGTCATAAACAGGGTATGCAATTTTACTCARGTTCCAAGTTCTTCCTAAGTTTCCTGTCATATTCAGGGATTCTACTTTCGTATTGACCAAAACTGGTTATTATGGTCGTAAAAAAACGATACGCGAGATGACATGATAATTGAACAGGAACTCAGTGCAATAAATCATATCTTTTATCATAAACAGGGACCACAAATTTGAGTTTTATTATCATAAACAGGGTACCCCTTTCAGAATCCCAGCGGAACGCCCCTACCCAAATTCTGGCGGAGTACCCCCCCCCCCCCGGGAATTTAACTTACCAAAAAAGAAATGTTTCATTTAAAGCTAAGAAGCATGAATGACAAACAAAAACACTAAAGATAGCTGCTTCTATTTTTTCGAAGTTTCCCGAAGTCGCCAATGTACACAAAAGCAATTCTTATTTAAATCGAAAATCACAAAATTAAAAATAGTGATTTTTTTAGCCTAGTAAATTCGTTCAACCACAAATGGGAAATTTCTAAATGTCTAATGAAGGGGACCAAACTATGACATGAAATGAAATCAAAATTATATCCAATACGAAAAAGAAATCAAAATTGATAAAATCATAATGAAATCATGGCATACCTCCACACTGCACAATTCGGACACTTTTTGTCGACCCATAGACATCAACAGCAGCATATGCATTGAAAGTGGGAACATTTGTAGCACAAGGCCCAAATTTTTTTCCATTGATAAAGAAATAAAGATCTCCACTAGAATTGATCCGCAACCCAATACGACTGCCTTTGTCAGTGGGTTTTACATTTTGCATGGCGGCTTTTTCGCCACAAAACAACTGATTTGTGTCCTCGTCTCCAACTTCAACTCGCTGGAAATTATAGCTCCCATCGTCTCGCAAATGTTCGTCTCCTAAAGGCTTCGAGTTGTTTGGTTTTATGGCGAAAACCCAAGTCTTTCCCATCTGAGCCAGATCAGGTAACAAATAAGGAGGGACTCKAAGTTGAAAGTCTTTGGGATTGTGCGATGTTATTCCACATCTTACGTGTCCAGACCAACCTTGTTCGTGGTCTATGATCTCAAACATAAACGTCTCAAGCGTTGATAATGGTCTATGACTGAAGACGACAGCATTTGCGAAGCTTTTCTTTCTCGTAGCGATCGTACCACAGTTGGAAAGTTCGACATGGGCGCCATGTTTCTGGTGAAAACGCAACATGTTTTAAAAAATCTCTTGTGCGATCGAGACTTTCACGTAGTTTAGGAGCTCCTCAAGGGTTCATACTATTTCAGAGATGATTTAAAAAATTATTCATTATTATTAATAGATTTCTTTTTGGTTTTGCACTGACGTACGTACGTACTTTCCGTATCGACATTCCGTGATTTTCCTTGTTTTCGAATAATTTTCGGCACCCGCCACAGGAGGCCCATGCGTAGGGGTCAAGGTCCAACTGTCTCTCATGGAGAATAACGAAAGTTGAAAATATAGAAAAAGAATATAATATAAAATATAAATTTTTATTTTAATCACAGCTTTCTGGCATTAACTTTCTCTGTCTGTCAAAAATAATACGCAGGAAGCCCAAGCATAAAAGGAAACAACAAGTTTCCTTTGAATAACAGAAGTTGAAAAAGTAGAAAGAAAACAGCCATAGACCACATATAAGGATAAAGTTAATCCTTTTTTCCATTTTTTTTCACAGTCATTCCAGTATTTTAAGTCTTTTACCATAAATATTATCTGTGAGTCCTCAGCACACACGTCAGCGGGTGCTTCCATGACTGCAGAAATTAAAAATGGCCGCTCGCTTCGTCAGTTTTTTTTCTCCAAGAAATCTTTTCCGTTTTACGAGAATTCCTGCACTTCGAGGCATACATTCTGCTGGTGGACCCTCATGGACAGGTCAAGAATTCAACTCAGCAAAAGACCGTGTAAACACACTTAAAGAGGACCCAGGAAACGAAGCGAAACTTAAACTATATGCGCTTTTCAAACAGGTGAGAAATAAACTTTAAAAACAATTTGCGAATTTTTTTATTTAATTCAAAATTTTTAGTTTTTATTTGTCATCACACACAAAGCTATTACATATCACAGTTATTGTAGTAATGGGTTAGGTTGTTTATAAGCAATTTTTGTTGGATTTATTATAATTATTAGCGTCTTTTGACCACCTCTCCCCTTGACGTTTTTCTGTTCAAAGTCCAATCAAAACAAAAGTGGCCGAAGTCAACTTCATTTCTGATAATTTTTCTTATCCCTCCTTATGCTAGATGGTTTGTTTTTGTTTTTCATCTTTATTATTGTGATGTATGCAGCTTTTTCAAAAAAGGTTGAAAACTGCATACTAAATAGTGCATTCCAAAAATAAATAGTTTGAGAATATATATAGACTATGTATTTGTACTGCAGTTATAATGTATGTCATTGAGCTGATCTGCACAGTATATCAAGCTACTTATGCACCTGCTAATCATAAGCAGAACAGAGTTTGCACCTGTGCCCTGGCGATTCCGGTGCCATGCTCTAACCACTGAGCTACCAAGTCTCATATGAGACTTACAAGGACACATTATATTTTAGTCTTATAATTAGCAGCTGCATAACTTTCTTTATATACTGTGCAGATCAGCTCAATTAAATATATATTATATATATTCATTTTTAACAGGCAACGGTGGGTGCATGTGATGCCCCTAAACCTGGTGCTTTTGACTTTGTTGGCAAAGCAAAGTGGACAGCATGGAATAGTCTAGGGAACATCTCAAAAGTAAGTCTGTATTACTAAGTTTGATGTATACTTTAATATACTAGAAGTACATACACAACAAACATTTATATTCTCGATCTTGGAGTTTCACAATTACAATACAAAAAATACTGCCGTCCAGATAGCTCAGTTTGTTCGAGCATCTGTCTGTTGTGTGGGGGGGGTCATGGTTCAAGCTTTGGCTGACCCAACACTCTCAAAGTCTTTAAAAAACTGAGAAGTATGTGCTGCCTTTGTAAATACATCTGCAAATGTTTCACTATGACTCTGTATTTAGGCAGATTTTTGTTTACGTTTTTTCCTCATTAGCATTTCAAGCTACAAGCAAATCGACTCCAGAAATCGAAAGAGAATGTCTTATTTAGTAACTACTGAAAATTTGAGAGTAATATGTTCAATATTTTGGGAGTAAATTGTTTTTGAAAACACTATAAATTACAAAGAAATGTATGGTTGTGTGTCAAGTCTTGCCTTACGACCATACTTAAATTTCTTGGTCAATCATTACATACCGGTTTAAAAAAAAATTTACTTCCAAAATATTGAACATATTACTCTCAAATTTTCAGTAGTTACTAAATCAGACATTCTTTTTTGATTTCTGGAGTTGGTTTGCTTGTAGCTTGATTTAAAAAAATGCTAATCAGGAAAAAATGTAAACAAAGATCGGCCTATTAAAGATGATTGTTAAAGACCTACTGAAGATGCTGGTGATGACCATCTTTATTGTCTGTGCCAACACTACATGGCCCACAGTTATTGGCAAAAGCAACATAAAATAGAAAATAAATACTGTTAAGCTATAAGAAAACTGATCATAATTTTTTTGTAGGAAGAGGCAGAAAAACAATATATCACATATGTAAATGAACTTGCAGGTAGGGAAGTATCTATTATTAGATAAGATAAATTGAAGAAATAGAAAATGCACGCGCGTGCTGTGTGCTGTCATAAAGCACGCGGGGGTTGGCAGAACACAAGAGAAGTGTTAGAGGAAGCACGACGCATAGCGGTTTGTTTTTTATTTCTTTTATAAAATACAAATTACGATAATAGATAGGAATGATGCAACGGAAAGTTTGCGCACGTGCAATGTGCTCTCATAAAGCATGCGCTCCAAACCAATCAGAATGCAACATTCATAACAGTTATTTTATAAAAGTTATCTTTGTCTATTTTAAATATGGATTATAAAATGCTAGAATTATAGCTGTAGAGGCTCTAGGCCCAATATTATATTGTATTTCAAATGAAACTTTAAGAATGTGAAAAAATAAAATAAAAAAATTACCAGAAAAAATGGCAGGTTACTCATGTAAATAAATGGCCTGGGTGAGTTGACTGGTTACCAATAAACCCATACATGTAGCAAGCAATGCACTTCGGTTCTGCACTCCACCCATACTTAAGAGTTAAGATAAATGAAATTTTATTTGCAGCTAATATAGGCACAACAGAAGAATCCGTTGGATCAGAAAGCTCAGCTAAAGATTCTGGTCCTGGGAGAAAGTATGAAGCATTAGAAGTCACTGTAAAAGATGGTGTACAGACAATCAAACTAAACAGACCTAAGAAATATAATGCTATTACATGGGAGGTGAGTGAAGGTGTTGAACATCATCATCATCATTTTTTCCCTTTTTGGAGTACTAGCATCTTTGGGGAGCTTCTGTCTGCAGCACTTGCTGCAACAGTTGCACAAGTGGGATGATTTGTCCAACATAGTTATCGTAATTTGTGTTGAGTCCATTTGTAGAATTTTTTCAAACTTATTCCATAAACTCTTGGTGAAAATTAGATGGATAAATAGATGCTTTATTGAAAATCTACTTATGCAGCCAAAGGCTGAATTGAGGAAATACAAATAACTATACTATGAATAATTAATTACTTAATTATATAATGATTATATCTTAGTAAAAATACACGGGTGATTATTGAAAATCTTGCATGCTGATTGGTTGAGAAACTCACACTATCACATGATAATCACCTCCAGCGATAATCCAAAATGGTGGCCAGCCACTTCGTTGCTGTTACTGGAAAAAATGTCTTTTATCTTCTTTTTTTCTTCTTTTTTTTGAAAGAATCACCTGTGTATTTATACTAAAACAATTATTTGCCTCAGTGAATATTGGAGAATATTTACCTTGCCATTCGAAGACTCATGTCTCGGTAAATATTCCCCGATATTCACTTCGACTTCGGCAATTAATTGTTAATTAGGGCCTTTTTCATTAAGTTTTGAAATAATAGGAGAAGATCATGATGGTAGTTTAAGCTGCAAAATTGTGCTCAGTCTGAAGCATTCTCAAATCTTTGAACCTTTAATGAAAACCGTATCTAAGACAATGGTTGACCCTAGAGTACCGAGGTTTTTTTCAGCCCTCCGGTTTTTCCTCCCCTTTGCAAATTGTCTCTTACTAATATTTAAACTGGTTAGAGCTGTGCTCCAGAGTCATACATGGATTATATAGTGGCTATCAGTCCCAGGGTACTCTTGCCGTTTAGGGTAGGGATGTGCCGCTGAGCCCACTAAACCCTGACCCTGTTGCAGAGTAAAATCGCTGAAATTCATACCCTGTTCCAGAGCAAGATTGCTGAAAATCATACCCTGTTCCGGTATTGCGAAAATGGATACCCTGTTCCAGAGAGGAGAGAGTGTGATTTCATATACCCTGTCCCAGAGAGAGAGCGATTTTATATACCCTGTCCTAGAGAGAACGCGATTTTATATACCCTGTTCAGTCCAGAGTATATGTAGAGTTGCTGAAAACCATACCCTGTTTGGCGGTACGTACCCATATAGTGTATGTAGGGGGGGGCCCCCCCCCCCCCCCGGGCTAGCAGCGGCGCCTTCACATGCTTTCAGTTTGACCCCATTGAGCTGCACCACTGCTGTACTTCTCGGTGGCGTTTAGGGATGACAAGTGTTTTTTTTTAAACAGATGTACCAGGAATGGATAGATGCCCTTGAAGAAGCAGCAAATGATAAGTCATGTGTATTGACGGTAGTAACGGGAGCAGGGGATTACTACTGCAGTGGCAATGATTTGGGTAACTTTGCCAACATACCACCAGAAGGTCCAGAAAAAATGGCGAGGGATGGACGCAATGTGCTCAGGTATGTGGTTCACTTATCATTTAGAACTCCATAGATCTATCGTTTTTGTAATTTCCATGAAGTTTGTATTATTTTATTGAGTTTTTTCCCTTTGTGAAATACAATATCCTAACTCACCACTTAGACTGTTTTATTTTGATGAATAGAAAGTAAGCACGCAGTGGTGTAATATATTCATTCATTCCTTCCTTCCTTCCTTCCCTCCCTCCCTCCYTCCTTCCTTCCTTCCTTCCTTTCTTCCTTCATTTATTTATTTTTGATGATTAATAATAGACTTTATTTCATGCTGAAATGCTGTAAAAAAAAGCCAAGTTGCAAACTATAGACCGGTCCTAATAAATCTTTTATTTCCTTCCAGTAAATTTGTGGCATCATTCATAGACTTCCCCAAGCCCCTGATTGCTGCCGTCAATGGGCCTGCTGTGGGTATCTCTGTCACAGTTCTGGGTCTGTTTGACATTGTGTTTGCATCAGACAGGGCTACTTTCCATACACCATTCATGGAGCTTGGGCAAAGCCCTGAAGGATGTTCTTCATACACATTCCCTGCTATCATGGGAACAGCTTTGGTAATGTATCCATTTTCAACCTTCAAATTCTGAACTGATCGCAAAGTCAGGATATGGCTAACTCACAGTTTGGTCACTGAACAGAACTGTAAAATGGAGTATTACAAAATTTCTAATAATAATATTCTCATCCCAGCTAATCTGAGAAAAAAAACCTTAGCCAATTATGGTTAATTATGGCTTTCTAGGCCACCAAATCAAAAAACTAATTTTGCTAATATGTGCTTGATAAAATTGACACAATAATTTAGTTATGTATTTTTTATCGCGTGGTGGCCTTTTCCAAAAAATTTTTTTGGTCAATTTTTGCAGGTTTCCTGACACCTCAGTTTTGCAGTGATGTCATTTCTATGTCACTATTTCTGTAATCAATGTCTTAGATTTGAGTCATTCATTTCTTTCACATATTCAGGCCAATCAAGTTCTTCTTGCAAGTCGCAAGATGAATGCAGGTGATGCTCTCAAGTGCGGCCTTGTATCTGAAGTGTTTCCTCATGATGACTTCCATAGAGAAGTAGATAGCAGAGTTGTGGCTATGGCACAGCTACCCCCAAAGGTAATTTTCTTTCTTATTTCTTTATTCAAAAGAAAGAATTGCGCTATCTCTGTCTAGATCTAGTTCACACTTGCAATAGAAGCAGAGGAAATGTTGTACTTTGAAAAGCCCATTGCACTTGCATGATGGTTATCATGATTATTTAAATATATATTTGTTTGCATATGTTTTTTCAGTATCTCATATTATTTTTAGCTCAGCTTTTTATAGTGTAGTCATTATTGTATTGTATTGTATCTTAGTTTTTAAGTATGTGGGCCACTTATTAGCTAGTTGACATACTGTTTAGTGTATACCCTCATTAAATAAAGTTGATTATTATATTATTATAATTATAATATGTAATAGGACTCCATGCTGTCCAATTAAGAAATAATTGGACGAGGAAAATTCCGAGTCCAATTTGGCAGTCAGAGGAATTTTTTGAGTCTAATTATTTCTTGATTGGGGGGCATGAAATCCCATTACCTATTAATTATATAGCTGCCTCATTAATCCCATATTAACAAGACCCTGTCCAATTAAGAAAATAATTGGACAGTTACCTATATGTGATTAATGAGAAGCTGTACAATTATTCTTATTCTTATTATGGTACTATTTCTGACATGTCAATCCCTTGAGAATAAGATTCTTTGTTTGCAGAGATGAACCCACATTTATGTGTCTTCTCATCCATGCACAATTGTTAACCAAGGGTCCTCAAGGGGGATTTTGATCAAATCCCATAGTCCTGGACTATGTTTTGCTCAAATCTCAATCCCATTCCAAATTTTTAATTGTTTTTGAATCCCATTCCCATAAAAATAAAAATACCAGGTAAATTACCTCTTCAGGACCCTCTTAAACCAAAGAAATCATACTCAAGGGAATGACACATGGTCTGAAATAAGAAAACATTACACCCAAGCTAAACAAAGAAATGATACTCTAGGGAATGACACATGGTCTGAAATGAGAAAACATTACACCCTAGCTAAACAAAGAAATGATACTCTAGGGAATGACACATGGTCTGAAATAAGAAAACATTACACCCAAGCTAAACAAAGAAATCATACTCAAGGGAATGACACATGGTCTGATATGGGAAAACATGAATTGTAATGCTTAATAAACTACATTTTTTTTGCAAGTCCATTGTGAGCCAAGCATGTTTTTTTTGAACTTCTTTCTTATCAGAGCCTGCAGCTGTCAAAGCAACTAATAAGAGAATCAAATAAGTCAGTCCTACACGAGGTGAATGAAAGAGAGTGCATTTTGTTGGAGCAGAGATGGCTTTCTGAAGAATGCATGCAGGCGATCATGAAATTCATGCAAAGAAAAGCTAAGTAAAGGTTGTCACGTGGTTATTGTAAAAAGGGTTCAAAGTTTGAATAAAAGTTATGTTAAAGTTAATACTGTTGTATTAATGTGAGACCAAGGGGGTGAGAATGAACTTGGGGACAGGGAGGGGCAGGCTGGTGCCAATCTATATGCATAGACCTCCACAGCTTGGGCATGTTTTCCCATATTTTCAGACCACGTGTCATTCCCTAGAGTACCATTTCTTTGTTTAACGGTGCGCTTGGTTACACATGAGAAGACATATGAATATGGATACAACTCAAACAAAGAATCTTATTCTCAAGAGAATGACACATGAACTGAAATGGGAAAACATTATGCCCTAGCAGAGGACTATTAAGATTGAGGAGTAATGAGGTAAGAGGGGTGAAATGTCACCCTGATAGTTCAGTTGGTAAGAGTTTGTGGTTACAGTCCTGGCTGCCCCGACACTCAGGTTCTTAAAAAACAGAGAATACAATACAGTACAATAGTTTATTAGCACATGTATTATAGAGGAGCTGTCGCTCTTAAAACATGTACGTGTATTAAAAACATGGTGTTGCCTTTGTAAATTACATCTGCAATAATGGTTAGACCTTCACGTGGCTCAGATTACCACGTCAATGGCAACCCCCTCCCTAATCTACTAGAGACATTAAAAGAGGACTTCAAGTTTATCAGTTGAATTGCTGCAAAGTGATATCCTCTATGAGCATTTATTTATTGCAGGGCTGTTAAATCTGTTATTTTTTAAAACTTGTCGCAAGTGCCCACTGAACGGCGGTACTTCGCCACAGGTCATGGTATCGACTTTTGTTTATTATTTTCACCACTGAAAGTTTTACAAACCAACTTGTAACTCTCACTTCGCATTCCTCATGCATAACTTTTCAACCTTAATTTGCATATTATGTAAAAGTTGTTGCGTCACTTCCAACAAAATAATGAATTATGATGAATGATGATTTATATAGCGCCCTTTCTATATGGATATAATCAAAGATGCTTTACATTGAGTTGTGAATGACAAATTGCTTTTGTTGCAATTTACAATCATGAGAGGTAATTAAGTATGAGGTGTAGGCACTGAGGATGGTCACTGCCAGGGTTTTATTACGTCCTCAGTGGTTCTTTTACGTCCCTCCGATATTGGTTAGTAATGAAGTGTGGAAAAATGGGACTGATATTTAAAGTGGTTATCCAAGCCACTTGAAAGTCTAACCATATGCAGATGTAATTACAAAGGCAGCACTTTCTCCTCAGTTATTTTAGAGTCCGGTCGTCAGGGCTTGAACCACGACCTCCCGCACAACAGTTCAGCGCTCGACCAACTTAGCCAACTGGGTTGCTCAGGAATAAGGAATGACAACCAACACATTGATCTATGACGGATTTTATTACTCATACTATACATTAAAAATATTCCCCAATGACATACACATATCTTTTAAAATGTATAAAATTATAGCCTACATGCGAAACAAGGGCACATTAAGTAAAAGACTAATCTATTGTCTTTTATCCCCTCGGATTGAATTTTTGAGCTAAACTTAGCACTAAAATTAGGAATGTGAAAAATTGAGCGAAATTAGAGTGTGTGTAAATGAATGCGAAAAATGCGACATTTGGTGCAACTAAGTCTGCAATTTAGACATTGATTTTCAATCATTTCTAAGTGAAATAATGACATGGTGGCCATGTTGGTTGATATAACAAGAATTCATTGACAATTCTTTTGTGTTAAATTCAACCAAGATGGCAACGATGTCGTCATGTGCAAACAAAGAATGACGAGCCTTTCTCATTCGGTGCCTGAAAATCAATTTTACTAAGATGAAAAGTGATACCTCGAAAGTAGCAAATCTAGATTCTAATTGGCTAACATTTTCTCTCAGATCAGCTGGATGTATACATTGTGGAAGCGTAAATTGAAAAGAAAATTGCTTCATTTATTTCATGCAATGGTCTAAATTTAAAAATTTCTTCAATAGAGCAGGTTCATGTTACATCATAGCCGCCATCTTGGTTGACAATAACAAAGCATTCCTCATAAGCTTCTCTTGTTACATCAACCAAAATGGTGGCTGTTTCATTGTTATTCATATCTCAAGAGTCACATGGTTGCACACATTCTATTGCTTAAGATTACTTACATAAAATGAGCCTTTAAAAAAATTGGCCATAAAATTACAAAAACCTTAAAAGTTCAATGAATTGTTTTAAGAAGGATGTCTTAATTGTTAATGAAAGAGTGTGACAATAATTTGAATTCACTTATTTACTATTATGTACATGAGTGAAACATGGTTAAAATCACTGTAAATAAATAAACGGTAATTATCATTTGAAAAAGTGCCAAAATATTGCCAAAAAGTGCCAAGTAATTTGTACGATGCAATGGAAAAGTTAGTGGGTTGTTAGTTGATGTTGGGTTGTCGGCAGGGTGTTAGTGTGTTGTAAATAGAGTGTTGGTAGGTTGTCAGAAGGGTGTTGGTAGGTTGTCAATAGGGTGCTGGTGGGTTTTTAGTAGGGTATTGGCAGGTTGTCAGTAGGGTGTTGGAAGGCTGTCAGTAGGGTGTTGGTAGGTTGTCAGTAGGGTGTTGGTAGGTTATCAGTAGGGTGTCAACCTGGTTAATAAAAAAATTCAAAAACAGAAAAAACTCCTGGCTTTATCAAAAGGATAAAATAATGTCTAACTAAGAAGAAATACTGTCTAATCTTTAGCATTCTATTCTACCATAAGAACATCTCAAAGGAATAGTCCCCTTCACAGTTCCCTGTATCATTTTGAAAGGTAACTGCCTGTGCATTGAAGTGAGACATGAATAATTCTTCAAGGTGTCAAAAAGGTCTCTATCATTACAAGGTCACCACTGGCAGTCTTCGATGCACAGGTACGGTTACCTTTCAAGATGGTACAAGGAACTGTGAAGGGTCTATTTAGATGTGACGCAATGAAGATTTGAAAATAGAGAAGATTTCATACAAGTGGAATCCCCTGTGCTAACAGACTCATACAACGTTAGTCCACCGCATTATGTATGTTTAGGTAACGAAGCATTGATTGGATTAATGGTACGAAAACAATTGTGATCCACTTCAATGCACTGCATACTGTACCATGCATGCTGTAAGTCAGAGTGTACCACTTATATAAAAGTTACTCTAGAATTGCAGACACTTGATGCAATTGCATTCAACATGGAAGAATATCCGTATGCATGCATTCGTGTGACTGCATACAAAGTAGCAAAAGTGTTATTCATTTTTACTTTCTTTGATCTGTGGCAACATTGTATATATTTCTCCATGCATTGCAGATGTGCAATTCTCTCTGTTGCAAGCAATGCCGCATCATCTGTCTGAACCTTATACCCATTTTCATATTTATGCGACCCAAACAACTACATAAAATGTTATATTGACATCTGTCAATCAAATTTTTAGATTATTTTGATTGATGGAAGACAGAAAAAAAAATGCCTTGGGCTTTGTTGGGTACATAGTATTCAGTTTCCTGTGCCATCTTGAAATGTAACTGTACCTGTGCATTGAAGGGAGAATAGCAGTGACCTTACAAGATAGAGATGTGAATAATTGTCCAACATGTTAATAAAGGTATCTATCATTGCAAGGTCACCGCCATTCCTTCTTCAATGCACAGGAACGGTTATTTTTCAAGATGGCACAGGGAACTGTGACAGAGACTGTTGTGTAAATGCGTATAAGAAATTAATGTATGTTACTATCTAAAGAAATATGTTTTAGATCTACTTTGTTTATATACAGATAAAACTGATCAGGTGATGCGTTATCCCATTACATCTGCCTTCCATGACTTGGACATGCTTGCAATACCTTGTTCATCACTGAGATACTTGACAAGCAACTTGCATTCATCGGCATTGATGTCGTGTAGGGTTTGCAAGTCATACTGCTGAAGCATACTTTTTGTGTCTTGAACACACTGAAATGAGTATTTGTGAAGGTATTGTTTATCAACTTCCTCATCATTATCATAATCATTATCATCATCATTACCACCATCACCATTATCAGCACCACCACCACCACCATTGTTATCATTATCATTACCACCACCACTACCCCCATCACCATTATCATTACCACCACCATTATCATCACCATCACTATTATTATTACCACCACCATTATCATCAACATTACCACTATTATCACCACCATGATTATCATTGACATCATCACCTTCAGCATTATCATCAACATCACCATCACCATTATCATTACCACCACCATTATCATTGACATCACCATTATCATTACCACCACTATCAACCAAATCACCATTATCATTGACATCATCACCACCATTATCATCGACATCATCATTAACACTACCATCACCATTATCGTCGCTATCGTTTATTCTAATAATTATTCCCATTATAAGCTATCGGCCATCATTGCCGTCAATGTCACAATGATATTTGATACTGACCATGACATGAACCTTCATTAGTCTATAGATTAACCATTATCCCCATCATTACCATCAGCCATCTTGGTGATGACCATACCCATCATCAATGCGACCAACTCCATCACCATCTTCATCATTCTTACCATCATCGACATTTCAGTGGGACAACTGAACCAAGGGAATAAAACATTATTTGTATTATTTTAATTGCAATTTATGTGTTTTACTAACCTTAGAAGGCATGTCTGCAAGACGATATACTCTTTCTCTGACTTCTTCACTGAAGGTCTTTGAATCAAACACTTCCATTGCAAGACCATTGTCAAGGGCCTCTGTCGCAATCATCTCCTCATTCAATAACAACATGGAGCATGCCTGCAACAAATCCAAGTCACAATTTAATACATATTACTAATAATATACAATTATCGAATGAAGTTGAGCACGGTATTGTAAATTATCAAGACTAAGGCCGTGATATCTGCCGCAGCTGTAGTAAAGTGCATACAGGGTTCGTGCTGAGGTAACCACTTTAAATTCAAGGACTATTCAAGGAGTATACAAGGACCCAAAAATATACTTCAAGGAGTATATGTTCAGCTAACTATGCCAAGGTTTTACATGGTGCTTGCACATGGCCGACTTTCAGATTTTCCAGTCTTTCTGACTAGATCTATTTCAGAACCATGAAAGTAATGATCAAAGCAAAAATAATTCAAGGAGTTTCGCTAAAATCATAAAATTCAAGTGTTTTTCAAGTGCCCTTGAAAACGTGAATTAAATTCAAGGAGTTTTCAAGGAGTTTAAGGAGTAGCACGAACCCTGTGTATATTATAATTAACAATTATTMACTCAACGCAAAGTGAATATCTGGGAATACTTACAAAGCCGCAAGTCTTCAAAAGGCGATGTAAATATTCACCATAATCACTGATACAGAGGGGAATAATAGTTGTTCTAGTATAATTTTTGACTTGAATATTGTAGGAAAGATGGAATTCAGATAAAAGACGTTTTGGTATTACTTCCGCACAAACATTTTTTGGGCCAGTCATTATGGCTGGCAATGGACTGGCCATTATTTTTATCCCTGTTTCCAGGTCTAAATATAGTGCTATGTTACCTTCATTCTTCCAAGTATTTGAGGTAGAGTGAAAGAAGAACAGCCAATAGGCGTGTGTCCCCATTTAGCAAAACCCATTTGAAGTGTGGACTGCAAAAATAATGAATGTAAGTAGTGTGCTACTGCTATAAATGCACTACCCCTGGTCTGTGGTTGTAGTTTCGATTCCTGTACTCCCTGTTGTATTTTGGTATAGTTATTTTTTGGTTCTGTCCTGTTGTTTCAAGGTTTTTTTCAAGGTTCTCTGGTTTTTCTCCATCTGTGACAATCAATATTTGAGTGCTGTGTGTTGTAGAGTGCAAACAATTAATCTGTGAAACACTAATTACTAAATAGTACAAAATAAAGTTAATTAAACAATAGAAAACAATGGAATTTGCATGAAATTGTGCAATTTAGTATTACTAAAGTTTTACGGTTGTATTGTTTACACTCTAAATAGTGAATGTTGTAAATAGTAGAGTGTGTGGAGTAAAATCTAATGAAGAACCTTTGTAAAACATATGTACAAGTTTTATGTAAAAATATAAGAATGTATTAATCTCCTAAACAATTGCAATTCAATCATGGAACAAGGGCCAAAGGCTTCTTGGCCACTCTCTGATAATACCAGTAATACCAGTAAATCATCCATACCTTACTATTTATGTAGATAATATCACAGAGAGCTAATATTGATGTTCCACAACCTAATGCATCCCCATTGACTGCCGCTACGAGAGGTTTGCTAAAATTGATGATCATTTCTACCAAAAGTCTGCAAAAGGAAATACGAAATTATAAGAAAATAATCTTATAATCTACTCTCTTTTACCATGAGGGCTTTTCTCTTTGTGCTCCACTTAGAGTTCGTGCTGAGGTAACCACTTAAAATTCAAGGACTATTCAAGGAGTATACAAGGACCCCAAAATGAATTTTCAAGGAGTATGTTCAGCTAACTATGCCAAGGTTTTACACGGTGCTTGCACATGGCCGACTTTCAGATTTTCCGATCTTTCTGACTAGATCTAATTCAGAACCATGCAAGTAATGATCAAAGCAAAAATTCAGGGAGTTTTCGAGGAGTTTTGCTAAAATCGTAAAATTCAAGAGCTTTCCAAGTGCCCTTGAAAACATGGATTAAATTCAAGGAGTTTTCAAGGAGTTTAAGGAGTAGCACGAACCCTGGTAGATATTTATTCTTACTTGAATTTTTCTACTAGTAGTTTAGCATGGCTTTTATGATGAGCTCCACGAAAGTTATCAAAGACACAACTGTAGTCCAGTCCACTACAGAAGGAGTTCCCTGATCCTGTGATAACAACAACATTAACATCCTCCTTTGCAGCGTCATGGAGGGCTGAAATCATCTGCTCACACATCTAAATAGAATCATAAAATCACTGTTATGAATCTCACGTTTTGATTGGATGGGAGTGCATGCTTTATGAGAGCACATAGCATGTTTGAGCACTTTCTGTTTTGCAATTCGTATCCAAAATAATAGTTATTATAATTTGTATCTTATGAAAGAAATAAAATGCTTGCTGTGCTGTGTGTAGTTATGAAGCATGTGGAGATTGACTGAACACAAGGAAAGTGTTAGGAGAAGCATTACAAGTCTCACATTATCTATTTCTTCACGAGTATTAATGGTTTTTGAGTCCAATTCTAGATTTTACCGTTATCTTATTATAGATTTAGATTTATACACTTACGGATTTATTGTGTAATCTTTGCTGTACATGATAGTTTTTTTTTTGCTTTTCTATATTAGGCACTAAATTCGCATGCTCTTACTAACTATATATAATCTAGGTTATAATTTACATCATTAACATCCACTGATGATGGTGGTATGTGTGCCGAAGCATGTTTGCATCAAAGAAACTTGTTCTATTTCTTAAAACTTACAGATTAATAGACACTATTCTTAACATGGTCAATTGGCCAATCCCAGCTAGACTTGAGTGTCCAATCAAACAATGGGTAGTTTTCCCAATGGAATAAAGAATGTCCGAGCAACAAACTCAAATTCATAAGAATTTTAAGAAGTTATCAAACCTAATGAACCTTTATAATGCATTGATGTAAGACAGACCTTTACAATTTTCAGCAATTGGTGTATATTCCATGCTGTATATCAAAAACACATTTTAGCTTGTCTGACCTAACAACAGTAACTAGGGAGGTAGAACAATAAATGCTGAAACGGCAGTATTGTTGCAAAGTGTTTTTGAACCCTTGGAAAATAGTGCTACTGTATATAAATTCTTATTTATTTGTTAATATCATTAAGTATTAGTAAGACATAAAATAGAATTAACAGAATAATATTAATTAGAGAGAGTGATGTCACTGTAGTTCACTTGCCTCTCACCTCTGCGGTCTCAGGTTTGATTCCTGGACTCGGCATTATGAGTGAATAGAGTTTGTTGGGTTTTGATCACCCTTGATTTGAGTTTTTCTCCCAGGTTTTTTCCTCTCTCTACAAATATCTAAATTTGAATTGGATTGAGAAGGAGAAGAGCCACGTTTTGCAACTACTGCTATATTATTACTCCCAAGATCAAGGTGCAAATCTGGGTAAAAAGCAAGATCAATAAACCAGATGCCCTGTCCAACGACTGTCTGTCGATATTCCACCCTGATGTCATTGACAGCCCACCCTCATGCAGCCAACAGTTTCTAAAGATTGGTACATACGGAATGAAATATGACAAAAAAAACATTTGGTTGACAGGACATCTTGGGTGTTGATCTTGTGTTTTACTCATAAAAGAATTGAAAATAAACATTAAGAACACTGAATTTATATCTTTGTAATAACAGTAATAACATTACATTTCAATTCCCCCCCCCCCCCATATTTTTAAGATTTAAGATAAAATTTTGATATTGTTAATCCGATATATATGATTTTTGTAATTTGCTTTTTTTTGTGATTTCATGATGAATGTAAAGCTACTCTGTAGATATGTCATCATTAAACCATTATTATTATTATTATATTAGTATCATATTATTGGAAACACAAATGAAAATACTAACCGCAATGGTAAGTGCATTCTTTTTACTTTCATTACAAAGTGTAAGCTTGGTAACAGGACCTTCTTTTGTTACGGATACAGTTTCTGTTATTTCTTTAATATGTGTTCTGCGGACAGTCCTATCTGTCATGAAATGATCCTCATCCGACCAATTAAAATTGTTTGCCACACATGCGGTAGCCATCGCAAGTAATGCCTTGTCTTTACTTTTCCTTGGTGATCGAAGTTTTCGGAAATTATTTCGTTGCTTCATATTCTCTCCATACACCTTCTTCTGAGGGCTTTGGTGCTCTGGACCTCCTGAGTCGGATCTCAAACTTCGTTTTGGTGGTAAGCCATTAAATTGCGTTTCACCATCTTCACTTCGTAAGACAAACCGTGCAACATCATCATCAGACTTTCGTTTCCTGCGACGTCCCCTCTTTTGCTCCTTTTTCATTTCAATCTCTTTTGCCCGTTCTTTCATGATTTCATCAAGAACGGCTTTGTTTGCAATACCTTTCAACTTTTTCTTATTCATTTCTGAGACTCTTTTGAGTTTTAATGGTTTTGCTATGCTTACAGGCTTTTTGGGTTTGAGGTGAAGAATCTCTAAGGGACGGACTCCTGAAAAGAAAAAATTAACCATCAAAAGGTGAAGAGAGAATCAATCACAGTTTTTTTAAAGGAATTTATTAGAGGGTGGAGTTGGATATTAGAGAGTTTTAGATTGACTTTTTTTTCTGCCCGCAAACGGCAAATGTGACCACGTTTTCATAGTTTTCCTGTATTTTACTTTACCTTTTACAAACGTTCTCACCAAGCGCAAATACTCTTTTGTTTTTCTACTACTTGGACCTTTTTGCGATTCTTTTTCAGTCATTTAAAAGAATTTTTTACTGGTCAACTGACGTTTCACGTTTGCCGTGAACGTAAATCTAAAACTCTCTATTTATTGTTTCCAAAACTTCAAAATTTAACAATACCCTGAAAGAATCTCTGAGCTGATCTAAGTCAGGG